CCCCTTAAAGGAGTCCTTCTCCTTGCCCTCGCCCGCCAGAAGCCATCAGGTGTGTGTAGCTGCACTACGGCCTCCTCATCATAATTTTCAAAGTTTCCTTTGATGGCTTCCTGTCTAGGCTGTTGCTTTTTGGGGGGAGGGGGTTGGTAAGGGCTGTCACAGAAGCCTCTCTCTCAGCTGTGAGTCTACAGTCATCAATACCACTGCAAAAGTAGTGCCTCCTGCTCAGCAGGAGCACAAACGGATCATGGGCTGACACATGGTTTCTTGAGATGGTGTGGACCACCGACACCCACACGGCCTCTAGCTTCAGCACATGCTCCAGACCTCACATGGTCTCTGGGGGCAATACAGACCACGGACACCCCCACAGCACTCAGCAACAGCACAGACCATGGACATAACATGGCCTTAGACCGGGGACATCCACACGGCCTTCATGTTGACTTTGTCTTCCCTTTCCTTGGTGGCAAACTTTCCAACAGGCATTTGAAAACATTAACTTTAGCACACAGTTGGGTTCTGTGTGTATTATCCCTTCATTTTGGTTTCTTTTCTTCAAATCAATGTTGAGTTATTGACAGAATTAATTTTTTTATTGCTTCTCCACAAAGTTGAATATTTTCACACACAATATTCTTGTGAGTCCCATTGGGTCTCTACCTCATATATCTTGGTGTGTAATTTCCTCCTACTGATGATTTTCATGGTATTTTTCTTTCTTGTTTTTATTATCTATTTGATCATAAAACTGTCTCTGAACGGACCTTTAATTTTTATGTTTTTGAACGTTCTAGTGTGTTATTCTCAGGGAAGGTTATTTGAACTAGTTCTAAATTTGAATATTTATGAGCATTCTGCAAATTCTACTGAAGAGATGCCTTTCCAAGATATAATTATTTTTTTTGTTAGTTTTGTTATTTTGGGGACGATATTTTCACGTACACTCTTGTCCTATTTTCCTGTTACAAATGTACAGATCCACGACCAAGCCATTCTTCTGAGATCTTACACTTCCAATGCCTGCCATGTGGAGGTGGAAACCACGCTGCGTGTATTCGTATGACTGCAGTATATACGGCTTGAGTATTTTTCTCTGTACACTTGGAAACTATGACAATGCTTTAAATATATTAACAGAATGAAGGGCTGGAAAGTAATTCATTAAAACAGTGCGTGCTTAGCATGTGAGAAACCCTGGTTTGGACTACCCAGCACTGAAAAAAAGAAAGAAGGAAAAATAATCAGAATATCAACAGTTATACTAAATATGGAAATGTAAAATATTTCTTTGGTACATTAGTCAACTTGATGAAAACAATGCCTACGAAATTGTAATGCTTAAAAAATAAGTACTATTAGATAAAATCTTGCTAATCCCTGCATATACGAGCATTTCTCACAGTGTAAGCTGGCTGCAAAGCTTGGCTTTATTACAGTTGTTGTCTGAATTACAAATAAAATGTATTTGCTATAAATAAGACTTTCATTTTCTGAGTTGTTGCTGTTTTCAATTGTATATTAGATTTGAGCTAGTATAAACAGTTCAACTTTCTTCTCACAAGTGCCATATTTGAAACCAAAGATAATCTTAAGCTTGGTAGATAATCCAGGGTAAATTCCCTAATTGTTCTTATATCTGTTATGATATGGGCAAGGAATACATTGAATAAGGTAACTTTTCTAAAGCTTGTTAAGCCTGAGATACCTGAGGAAAAGCCATAAGTGTTACCTCTAACAATCAATGTGGGGGAAAAGCTTGGTTAAACAGCAATCAAGATTAGCTCTTTTATGAGATTTTTTTTATCAGTAGGAAGAGATGAACAAGAGAGAACAAAAATGTCACATAAACAGACTAATATAATAAAAGATTTTTAATTCAGAAAGGCTATCACAGTAACTTATATACTATATGAAGATACACATTATTTGCTATAACGAGGGAAGTAATATTGTTTATTATCAATAGTTTTATCAAGCTTCGAACCCTATGAACTACAATAATGGGCATGGCATGCTGTTTGCATGGGTTCATGTGTTACGGTTTCCCAACCTTGAAACTAATGAACTACAAAAATTGGTGTAGCAAGCCATAGGTTCATATGTTATGAGGGTAACTAAACCATTTCCTGATTGGATTTCAGAGGAAATGCATGCTTACTACTGTAAAGCTGGCCCAAAACAAATTGTTGGGGAACTCACAGGCCCCAGGGGTGAACCTATGACCCTCATTCTGGTAAGCATTGTCAAACTGGCCTCTAAACTCCTATCCCTATACTGACAGATGGGTGCAGATCTCAGCTCCTAGTAGGAGAAGTTTCTTCCTCCAGTGGACAGCAGTTAATGCTGAAACTTGCAACTGGTCAAAGTGCAGGGAATAAGTGTTCCTGGAGCTGTCAGGTGCAGATGGGAAATCTGTGTGGAGAAGCGGGTGGAAAGATTGGGAGAATCAGGCCGGGAAGGCTGACTTCTGGACACGACAGGGCTGCTGCCCTCATGAGCTCACAGCAGCTGTGGTCACTGGCACGAGGGCCATACAAGATCGAGCCAGTCAACATTCGAGCCAGGGGTGGGAAGGGGTTTGTGAGCACCCACCAGCTTCGGACAGGTGATCATTTCTGGGGGAGAGGACTCAGTTTTCCATAAGGGTGAATTTCACTATAAGTGGACGGATGGCCCAATGCGCCAGAGCATACAGACAAGGTGAACAGAACTCAAGAGGCTATTAAAAGACTAGGACGCAGATTTGTGAACGCAAGGGCACCTGGGCGTGGATCTGGGAGGAGTTAGGGAGAGGAGTGGGTATGAATATGTCCTATGGCGTTCTCAAAGAATGAATTAAAATTCATTTAAAGGATTAGAGTGACACAGAAGCACACTTACTTTCCCACTAACACCATCTCCAAAGTGTTGGACATGTTGAGAATGAAATGCTCCATCACAAACACTGCTTTGGATGTTCAGTGGTGGACATGAGGCTTCTCTCAGCAGTCAGGTTACTGATTAAAGCGGCCTGGTTCTGGTTTTGAGTCCTTGCAGGTGGAAAGGCCTGGCTCCAAATTCCATCATGCATTGAGAGCTGCATGTCACTGAAGTGCCCAGACTGTACAGTGGTAAGGTACAGGTTGAATACACTGTGTGGGTAAAGGCCACTGTTGTTCTCTTTAAGACCACCACATTCTTACCTTGGGGAAAACCTACTGTTCTCCATACTTCTCTGATGGATGAGATGGCATTTGTGAGAAAGGGAGGAAGAAAGACGGGGAGTGACTGAGGATGAATCACCCAGCTGGTGATCTCACCGTCAAAACTCCAAACTCTCCCTCCCTGAAACCGTTCTGCCACATTTGCTGCCAACAACAGACAGATGATGCCCATGGTATGAAAGGAAGAGGCATACGTCAGAGGGCGATTTCCACGGCCAGAGGCTCAGAGGGCAACAGTGACTATAAACCAAACCGAAGTCCATTCATCCCGTTGTGTGTCTGCGAAGATTTACCTTCTCTGTTCAATGGCCTTGATTGGGTGTCAAGCCAGGCTGCCCACTCCCTCTCCCCTTTGTTTTCATTCTGCTAATAGAAATCACGGCAGATCCTGAGAATCAAACACGTGAACTCATGACCAAGAAGTCGTATTCAAAAGAGGTTTATTTTCTCCTCCTGCTGAAGGACCCGGCCATGCAAATGGATCCAGGGCTACCCTGACTCTTGAAAAGGGGAACAGTGATGGAGGATTGTATTCACACTGTGGAGAGACCGGCCCTTTCCGGGCAGGCAGATGTTTTGTGGATCCTGACATTTATATACGTTTCGGGGAGAGTCCTTTGTGCAAATTTAAGCACAAAGCCAAACATCGAGATGGGCACCACGGATCACAACTCGTGACTGGAGCTCCGGAGACTCCGATGGCCTCCTCGAACTTCATCGACTGGATGCAGCCACACACGAGTGTTCTAGCTCAGTAACCCCCAAGTCCCAGAGTCTCTCTGCACACAGGAACCCTCAAAACAGAGCCTCGCCACGAGCTCCGTTGGTAGCATCCGCCCACGTTTGGCTACTTTGCGTAGGAAGCCTAAAAGCACCCCGCGGCGCGAGCAGTAGAGGACCCCGCCTGGCGCTTGTCATTTCACTGTAGGAACTGACTCCGCGCACCTATCACCTGTCAACGCGCGTGGGGTCTGCAGGGACCCGGGGACTCCGGCCGCAGCCTGGGAGGTCGCGGCGCGCGCGCGGGCGGGGCTGCGCCGGGCCCGGGGCTGCGCGGGAGGCCGAGCCGCCGCGCCTCGCGCTGATT